GGGGGGGGGGGAACACAATTTAGTCCATAGCAACAACCCTGAGAAAGAGGACTTTGATCCTTCATTCTGCACATAGGGAAGCCAAGGATCAAAGGAGTTGAGCCATTTGGACGAGGCTCAGCAAGTACAAGACCTGTGCTCTGGCTTCTCCCAGCAAGGAGTATGACCTTCAGAATTTTGAGGGACAGAAACTTCATGACCTCAGGCACATTCATCTCAGCAAGCCATGACCAAGCCAAACTTTCAAGTCAAAAAAGAAAGAGGCTCTAGATTCAAGATGGCAGAGTAGGTAAAACACTGTGCCTGCTTTTTTCCATGAACACATAAATATTACAACTAAATAACACAACAATCAACCTGGAGAACCATCTGAAGTCTAGCCGAACAGAAGTGCTATAACTAAAAATATAAAGAAGCCACGTTAAGACTGGTAGGAGGGGCAGAGACGCAAAATGGGACCCACACCTGTGTGTGGAGGATGAGAATCAAGAGAGGTATCTCAGCAGTGGAGGTTCCCCACAGAGGAGCGAGCGAGGGACCCCAGCCCCCACCAGGCTCCCCATCCCGGAGTACTGGTGCTGGGAAGAGGAGTCTCCACAACATCTGGCTGTGAAAAGCAGTGCTTATTCTGACCATCCGCCTTTCCCGGAAGGCCTGTGAAACCCAAATGTCCTCTTAAACAGCCCGTGCACACACACTCACTCGCTCGCAGGCACTCACCTTGGACTCCAGCGAAGGGACGGTGACTCAAGGGTGTCAGAGGCATATGAGGGGCAGACTGAGGTGTGTGGCTTGGAGGCCAGGACTGAAGGACAGTCCCGTTTTCTCTATGAGGAGTCTTCTTCCCTTGCAGCTGGTAAGCGGCCACCATCTTTAATGTGTTGAGCCCTCCCGCTAGGCTTATGGCCAAATCTGAATCTGATTGGTCTGGTGAGCACTGAAGCTCCACCCTGCTGACTCACTGGGACCCCGCCCCACCCAAGTTCCCCAACGTGCACTTTCTCTGAGAGTAGCCAGCCCCTCCCACATTGCACTCTCTCTTGGAAACCTATCCGAGTCCATGGGCACTAAGTGGGTGACAACTGGCCTTGGTATGCTCTGAGACTTTTGCTGAGTAGCTCCAGGCTCAGAACTAACACCAAATCAGAGTCTATACTAACTTAGTGACCACAACTCTTCCCACTATAAGTGACTCCCTGAGACCCTGCCTCATCCAGTGTGCATACTACATGAGGCTTTATCAGTGGCTGAATTTTAAGGGAGTCAGCAGGTGGCAGCAGGACTTGGAGTGTCCTGGCTTTTTGAAGAGCTACCCCAGGCCTGGAACTGGTGGCAACCATCCTTGGTTTGCAGTGTGGCCTCTCCCATGTGTCTCCAGGTTTAGCACAGGCAGCAAAAAAATGCAGATCACTTTGTAGCTCCTACCAGGTAGTTCCTAGTTGGACACAGGCAGTGAGTGTCCTGGGCTTGCACTGGAGCCCCTCCCAACAGGCCCCCATACCAACATACCTGGAGGTTGGCTTCAGACCACAGCAGAGCACCACCCAGTTAGTCCCCAAAGTGGCATACCCAAAGAGTGGTCTCTACAGGCATGCAAGCCCACTGGGGAAAATCCCACAGTGGGGTAAGGCCCCCGCACAGCAGCCCTTAAGCTGTGGATGTGGCCAAACCCCACAGCTAGTCACCCTGAGGGTCAATCCCACCAACTGAGGTGCCAATAGCAATTAAATGTCAACTATAACGGGAAGCCACACACAACCCACACAAGGGACACTGTTGGAGCACCTAGAGCAGGTGACCATGGAGACTGTGTCAGGGCCCCCCATGGCACCTACTACATAAGGCCACCCAGCCAAGACTGGGACACACAGCAAATTTACCTCATATATACAAACAAACAGAGAGGTAGCCAAAATGGGGAAACAAAGACATCCATCCCAAATGAAAGAACAGGAGAAACTCTTAGATGCATCCTCAGGCCATTAGGGGGATGTGATCTGAGGGCCAGACTGGAGTCACTGGGCACCCACAGATGGCAGGAAGCCCACCTGCAGGAGAAGCTGAGAGCTGAGTGAGCGGGAAAGGTTCTGGCAAAACCAGCCAAATAGATTGAGCAAATCCAAGAGGACATTTCCCCAGGTCAGGCTACGAATATTGGGTTGTCAGAAAAGTCATGACGCATTTTTACAACGAAAAACAGATAAAATACATCATGACTTTTCTGACAACCCAACAGATTTGACTCACTGGTGCACCCAAGTACACATGGGGGACAAATAGACTAGAAACCACTATCAGGGGCTTGTTCTGGGATATGGAAACACAGAGGTTGGCGGAACAAACATGAGAATATCCAGGGGTTCCTCTTGGCCATTTAATGATCTGTGAGACATCATCTTAGGAGTGTTTGAATTTACCCTCATCTCACGTATAGACCTACTCCTTGAATTCATTCTAGAATTCAGATCATGGGTCTGAAGGAGCTCTTAGAAAAGGTTTAAAATTAGAGAAATGGAAGTGTGTGCGTGTGCGTGTGTGTGTGTGTGTGTGTGTGTGTGTGTGTGTGTGTTTATTGGGAGGCAATTTAGGAGCTGGCTCAGCCACTCTTCCTTAGTAGATTGTGCCCAAGCAGACTCATTTAGATGATCTTGCTCGAAACTTAACATCTCCCTTTCCAACTCATTAGTGTTTTATTGACATGTGCCTTATGTGTTTACCTCACACATGCTTGCAAGCATGCCTGTTGTGGCCTTAATATTCCTGTCACTACCCCTGCAGCTTGGACTGTGTGTGTCTTCAGCCCTCTGGCAGATCTTTCTGGGAACTTTTGGGGTGCCTGGGGTAACTGGGGCCATGGGTAAGAAAGCAGAGCTTCTCCTGAGGTGGAGGGGGGGGCATCATTGTTTTATGTGAAAGGAACTCCAGGATATCAGACAACCCTACACTGAAAGAGAAGTATAATAACATTCCAAAGTCAGAGTTACATGATCCCTGTCAGGGAGGACAGTTGGAAATCAGCGGCACCTTGTCACATAGGTGTGGACTCTGGTGTGTTCCCACGGTCCCTAATCTCTGGTTCCATGACAGAAAGTTATTATCACATCACTAAGTGCTGTCAGACCAGGGACCAATGTACTCTGTGCTTTCACCCGACGGGAGCAGGGCCCCAGGAGGTAGAACCCTCGCCCTGGCCTCTCGGTGTCTGATTTGGACACAATTAAGTTTGAGCTGGAGCTTGTGTTGGCTCCAGACCAGGGATCTAAGGGTCAAGGGGCCTTCAAGGCCATGGGCCACCATTGTGAGAGTCCTGAGGGCTTACTACAGCTGATGAAATTAACGTCATTCACTTGAGCCTGTGATGAACTGAGGCTAAGTGAGAAACAATGCCAATGATAACACAAGGGGAAGATTCTGTTTAGCCACCAGAAGACTTTATTTTTCCAGAACACAGAATAGGAAAAGGGGTCACAAAAGCCTAAAGTGGTCCAATTGCTCCTAGAAAATGTGCCCTTAGTGTAAAGGTTGGAGCTGTGGAGAGAGCTATGGCCTGAGCTCCAGGTCCCAGCCAGGTGATCGCTTTGGACAATAGGAGGAGTTGGACCAGCTCACCTCCAGGCTGGCATCTCACATCTGGCGATTCTGTGACCTCAGACGAGTCACTTCAGATGAGCAGAAAGCCTCATTCCAATGGGCTTGCCAAGTGCTGCCTGCGTTTTCCACCTTGGATCACTGGATCTCAGTGGACTTGGAGCGGACATGGCCTAGAGGGTGGTGACTTGGCAGGAGGCATATCTGAGCCAACAGGCACCTAGGGTCTGATGAGTGAGCTCTCCTGGCAGTAGCATCCAGGCCCTCACCTCCCAGGAAAAGAGGCAGACAGGAAGAAAGGCAACTAACACTATGGAGTCCCACCCACAGGACACCATGTCTAGTGCTTTAGCTCCATGGCCGCCTCCTTTCATGCACTGAGCAGGAATTGTGTGACCCCTGTCGGGCACTGGGCACTAGGTATTTGACAAGTAACAAGACAGCTCGGCCCCTGCCCTCACGGAGCTTGCATCCTATGGGGCAAGAAAGGACCAAAACACGCTCAGCAATTTAGTGACATTCAAGACACTATGAGACCCACTGACAAGAGGCCCAGGCTGGGAGTGGGAGGCCAAAGGGCTAGAAGAAGAGGGAAGAGACATTGCAGGCAGAAGGAACAGCACAGGCAAAAGTGCCAAGGTGCAAAGTCATCTGGCCCCTGTGAGGAATGGAAAGAGACCAGCAAGGTGGGCAGGAGAGCAGGAAGTAGAAGGAGGAATCTTTGGAGTTGAACTTAGCGGGGGTGGCAGGGGCCAGGCCATAATGGGCTTCATAGGCTGTGGTCAAGATTTGATTTTTAGCTTATGAGAGGAGGGTGACCATTTATAGGTTTTAAGTAGGGTAGTGATGTGGTCTGATGTGCATTTTGAAAGACTACAATGGCCACAGTGGGGAAGATGGATAAAGGGGGCAAAAGCAGAAAGAGCAGACCAGCTGGAGACAGGGGAGACGCAGAAGAACAGTGTTATCATCCCTGGTTTTCAGATAAATTTACCAGATCAAGAGACACCTTATGAAAGTGAAAATATAAGCCACTCACCAAGGAGATATTCACCATACACATGCTTGCAAATGATTTTTGTCAAGAATATATAGAAACTATATCTATTCTTTATACGTGAGAGGAAAAGCACAAACAACCCAACGGAAAAAAAAAAAAAGCAGGCACACGACATGACCCAGCATTTTGAGAAGAGGGGAGACATAACCATCTGAAGAGGTGTATGTGAATTTGGGATCAGGGAAATGCAAATCAAAACCATAGTAAGGTACCATTTTATACCCATACAACTAGAAAAAGAATTTTGGAGTCTGTCCATGCCGGGTGCTAGGGAACAGGAGTTGCAGGATTCCTGACACATTGCAGCCTCTTTGGAAACCACTTGGGCAGCATTCCCTAAAATTCCCATCCCTTCAAACTCATTCAATTACCCTCCTGGGTCAATACCCACGAGAAACACTGGCTTGTGCACACCAGGGGTGTTTACAAGAATGCTCATGGCCACAGTGCCCACATAGGAGAAACCCAACACCAAAGCACCAGCAGGAGACTGAGTGACTAAACTACAGTCTAGTCAAGACACGGGAGAGTATACAGCAATATAATGTCAAGTAAAACAGCCACCACACACACCAAGTCCCAAAACACTACGTTATAATGCATACCCTTTTCATTAAGGTTTTAGGAATACATAGAGATGCAATAACTCTCTAAACAGGCAAGCAGGTCGTCATGACCATGGAATGCAGGTGGTGATCACCTTGATGGGAGAGGCTGAGGGGAGGAAGAACCCACAGGTGGGACACAGGTTTGTGTTGAGGCCTCAGCTCCCATGCCTCAGGTCCCAGCATTGTTTTGTGTATTACTGTTGAATGAGTTTGTCCCAAGGGCCGTGTCTCCCAATCTACCACCACTCCCAGAAATGAAAATAGCCCTTCCTCTCACAAAGGATATGTGTCTGTATTTGACCAAATCTTCAAAATGCCTTGACGCTTAGGAAAAATACATGGTTATTAACCGCACCACAAGCACAGCTCACTGCCCCTCCCCAGCTGTGTCTTAAAGAGAGCGATGACATTGTACTAGTCGGGGCGAAGGCAGCAAAAAACAACACATCTGAGTCCAGTGACTTGAGCTGCAAGTGAAGGAATCGGAATGGGGAGGTTTCACGTTTCAAGAAGAAACCGTGTCTCACTTAGATCTTTCCTGTCAGATCACAGCGACTGGCTCCTTGGGCTGAACATGACACTTAGTGAACAACTGTCAAGCTTTGAAACTCCAGCCTGGACTTCTGGGGAAGGACAGAGGCAGCAAAGACCACACAGTCTTCCTCCTTCGCGTATATTAAAATGGGAGACATTGTGCCCAAAGTGGGGTCCATTCAGCTGAGCTGAACTGAGCAAATGCAGTGGTTCCAAACGAACACCCACAAACAAGCATCACAGCTCAAGATCTAGGTTCCAGACTGGGCTCCACCTAAAGAGGCCAACTGACCTCAGGCAGTGGCTTCGCCTCCAGGCCTCAGTTTGAGCCTGTATGTCAGGGGTCAGCAAACTACAGCTCACGGGCCAATTTTGTAAATAAAGTTTTATTAGAACACAGTAACACCTGCATTGTCTGTGGCTGCTTTTGTGCCTTAGCTGCAGAGTTGAGTAGGTGCAGCACAGACTGTATGGTCCACAAAGACTAAAACATTCACTTTCTGGCCTTTTTCCAGGAAAAATCTGCCAACTCCTGATCTGAGGAACTTGGCTGGATCATTATTTCCCAAAGTGGGAGCGCTAACACCTCAGGGGTACGCTGAAAAATGGGGAAAATAATAGTTCTTTCTACAAGGGCTTAACATAAGGATTAAACATATATAAGGATTTAGACCAGGGTAAAAATTAGCATTGTTTCTATTTTTATTACTATTGTATAATCATTTGGATATAGGAAAAACTATTTATTTATATTCACTTTTTAATCTAAAAGAAATTAAGTTTGGCTAACATCTATACTGGTACTTACATTCATATAAAAAGTTTATGTATAAGATAATTTTTCATCATTTACTACTACTAATTTCTAACTGTTTATTGACTGTTATGTGTCAGTGAGTGTTCTGAGACCATTACAGGAATTAACTCATTTTATTATAACAACTTATAATTATAATAGGAAGGTGCTATTAGCCCCATTTTACAGATGAGGAAACTGAGGCACGGAGAGGTCATGTAGCTTCCTGAAATTCACACAGCTAATGAGTGGCAATCTGAGTTTGAACTAAAGCAGACCACCTTCTGAGTCCCCCTGCTATGTTTCCTCTTATATACATGCATATATTGACTATGTATGTATAAAAACCTTCCTTGTTAATCAGTGGGGGTATATAGTCGGTTAGGTGAGGATGGTCTCAAAGATGCTGTCCAGGGCTGGCATCCTGCGTTAGCCTCCTGTCTGGGGAGACCTTCGTTTCTGTGGGAATTTGGATTGGTGAAGACTGACAGCTCCTCCCAGCTCCTGACTTGTTCTTTGCCCCCATAGCCCACCCTGAGAGAGCCGCCCTGCTGTTCGTGTCCAGTGTCTGCATCGGTCTGGCACTCACGTTATGCGCCTTGGTCATCAGAGTGTCCTGCACCAAAGACTTTCGGGAGCTGCAGCTGGCAAGGGAGCGCCTGGTGCCAGGGAGTGACAAGGCCGAGGAGGGCAGCGAGGACGAAGAGGCAGAGGAGGACTCTTCTAGCTCTGATTTTCCAGGGGAGCTGTCAGGGTTCCGTAGGACTTCATATCCTGTCTACAGTTCCATAGAGGCTGCAGAGCTGGCAGAAAGGATTGAGCGCAGGGAGCAAATCATCCAGGAAATATGGATGAACAGTGGTTTGGACACTTCACTTCCTAGAAACATGGGTCAGTTCTACTGAAAATCAGAGGCATCCTGATGTGATTACACTTTCTGAAGAGAAGAAGGAAGGATCCCAAGTGGCCCTTGGTTCTGTTTCACTTGTACCTTCTATGAAGGAGAATTTTTCATGTCATCCAATACTGGTGAAGCCAGAAAGCTATTAAAGGGACGTTTCAAACTGTTTACAGCACATTTCAAAATAAATTAGGAGGGAAGAAGAGTTTGTTTTCTATATTTATTTAAATTCATGTCTATCCATTAACATAATTACAGTTCACACTTATTGAGCACTTATAATGCCAGACACTGTCTGTTCTCACTGCTCTTCATGTATTTAATCCTCACAACATCCCCATTTCATACATGAAGGGATCTTCAAACAGAAGATCCCTCTATATTCATAAAAATACACACACACACACACAGTCAGACAATTAAGTTTGCAAACTTGCCACCATGTAAGCGCACAGTGGAAAGGTATATGGGACAGCAGGCATGAGTTTATCACTATATGTTCACTGGTGATGGATTTAAATCACGAACATTATTTGATTCGAGCAAGGGTCGGCAAAATTTTTCTTAAAGGGCAAGATAAATATTGTAGGCTTTATGGGGCAATGCCATGACTACTCAACTCTACCATTGTAGCTCAAAAGCAGCCATAGCTAATATATAATGAATGAATTGACTATCTTCCAATAAAACTTTATTTATTGACACTGAAATTTGAATTTGATTTCATTTTCACATATCATATATTCTTCTTCTTTGCTTTTTATCAATCGCCTAAAAATGTCAAAAACTTTCTTAGTTCACAGCTATACAAATACAGGCAACAGGCATTTACCTGATTTTGTAAAAAAGTATGGTCCACAAAGCCTAAAATATTTACTCTCTTGCCCTCTACAGCAAAATGTTGCCAACTCCTGTTTTAAAGTTTAAAACTGCAGAGTTTCTAGTAGTAAAAGTGATCAACCAGATTACCCAGCAGTCCTGTGGGCAAGGGTTAAGTGTAGTTACCCTTTAAATCACTGCAGAAAAATGGATCCTATCATGTTGGAGGAGGGGCAGGCGAAGGACCAAAAGAAAAATCCGTTAAGGAAACAATTTCTTGATGATGGGTTCCTTTAGAAGCCTCCTCTTGATGGACAGGAGGCTTACTGCTTTGGAGTAGAAAGAAAATGTTTTTCCCTTTCTTTACCCACTGGGCTTAGAGTATAAAAACAGTGGTTTATATCTATCTCATGTGCCCACTCAAAGGAGCTCTCCCTGCCTTATCTTACTTTATTATCACATCGACCCTGCAAATTGGTGTATGTAGATGAGGAAGTGAAGGCTAACAAGGTTAGGACTGGGGCCCAAGTCACACAATAGAAAGTGCTGGAGCTGACTTACTGTGAGGTGATCAGGAAATACTAGCTTTTTCCTCAGGAACCTGAGCAATGAATGACATATACAGGAGAAGGGGTTTCTCTTTCAGTGGTCCAGGTCCAGAGGGTGAAAGGCCCATCTGAGGAATGCATTGGAGGGTGGCTGTGGAGTGAAAGGCCTGTCTCTCATCAGCCAGCCCAGCTGCCCAGATCAGGGAGGGGTCTGCAGTTTTGTTTGTTTTATTCAGTTTTGTCTTAGTTCATTTGAGCTGCTATAACAAAAGTACCATAGTCTGGGTGGCTTATAAGCAACAGAAATTTATTTTTTCACAGTTCTGGAGGCTGGACAGTCCAAGATCAATGTGTTAGTAAATTCGGAGTCTGGTGAGGGCTGGCTTCCTTGTTCATAGACAACCACCTTCTCACTATGTCTTCACATGGCAGAAGGGGCAGGGAGCTCTGCGGGGGTCTCTTTGATAAGGACACTAATCCCATTCATGGGGGCTCCACCCTTGTGACCTCATCACCTCCCAAAGGCTCCATCTCCTAATACCATCACCTTGGGTGTAGGATTTAACATATGAGTTTGGAAGGATACAAACATTTAGTCTACAGCAGAGTTGAAATTCACATAAAGTAAAACTGCCCATTTTAAAGTGCGTGATTCAGTGGCATCTAGTACATTCACAATGGCCTTGTAACTACCACCTCTATCTACTTTCAGAACATTTTCAGCACCTGAAAATAAACCCCCCTACCTGTGAAGCAGTCACTCCCCATTCCTTCAGCCCCTGGCAACTACCAGTCTGCTTTCTGTATGGATTTACCTGTTCTGGACAGTTTCTATAAATGAAACCACACAATATGTAGCCTTTAGTGACTGGTTTCTTTCACTTAGCATAAAATCTTCAAGGTTCGTTCATGCTATAGCATGTATCAGTACTTCATTCCTTTCTATGGAGGAATAATATTACATTGCATGGACATACCACACTCAGTTCATTCATTCATCTCCTGGTGGACACCTGGGTTGTTTCCACTTTGGGCTATTGTGGTAGTGCTGCTGTCAACATTCGTGGGTGGTATTTTAACAGCAGCAAAACGTCACACAAAATGGCAACCACACACAGGGTTGGTGAGACATCCCCTGGTTTCCATTCAACAGAGAGAAGGGAAATGAAGGGGAGTCAGAGTGACAGCCCCTCTTTTACTTCCTACTTCTGGAATTTCAAAATGAGCTTCCTTATACTGACCTGAGAAGGTGATAGGTTGGGCTTGGTCAAGAGAGGTGTCATCCGGGCAGGTTTGGGCAGAGGCTGAAACGCCTCAGGACTTACAGGTACCTGAGTCCTTCGGACGTAATGTAAGGGATTGGGAGAAGTTGATGGGGTTGTGACGACGTGTTTTAAATCTGTCATTAGAGAGAAATCTCTTGTAGGTCTCAGCAAAGAATGAAGTGAACATATAGCTCCATTGTCTAACTTCTTCCTGAGGATTTTGTTCTAGTCAAAAAGGATCCTTGTCCTTTAATTTCCCTGAGCCCAGCAAGGAGCACTTTGGTGTTGTCCCAGCTCTCAGAGCAGCCTTGCCCCGTTGTCTGTAGCTCCAGCTCTCAAGCAGCACATCTTTTCTGGCTCCTTGAACATCAATATGACTGTCTTCTTGGGATTGAAGAGAACATGGCCCCTGAAGGTTTTCACTTTACCAGTTGGAGAAAAAGCTGGGCCTACATTGACCTCAGTCACAGAGTTTTTGTTGAATTCCACAATAGGTTTTCCTTCATCTGAGTCTCCCGCTTCCCCCCGACACCCACACACATGCACATCCCTCCCAGGACCCCTGAGGAGGCAGCTGGAAGACAGGCCTGCCAAGGCCGGGGTCAATCTTTGGCCTGTGCAAATGCAGTGAGTTGTTTATTTGCATTTTCTGAGCCCCAAAGAAGAATGCCACGCTCTTCTCATGGACAGCCTGAGGGGTCCTGCTGAGAATGTGTTTGAATGGGCACCAAGCCCAGGAGGAAAAGGACCAAACCAGATTTGGATGGGGGGTGCCATTGGAGCGCCGTGGTTGGAGGAAGCTCCCAGGCGGAAGTCCATCTAGGGAGCACAGGGCACACATGGCTGCTGCCTCTTGGCTGTGCGCATCTCTGGGCGGCAGACGCCCTGCTGTTTCCAAACTGTGGGGTCCCGGAAGTCCTGTGAAAAGAGGCCAGCCCTCGGTGGGTGGTTTGCACATGTCACTATGTCAGTTACTTGCTGCAAATGCTGACTTTCAAGATGTGAGCCACCTGCTGTAAAATTCAGCCCTTCTGGATTCAACGAGCCTGTTGGGGCTGTTGGAGTTTCAGGGAGAAGAAGCACACACCCAGGAACCAAGCAAGCGCTGGGAAGCCATGAGCAGGCCCACAAGTGGACAGTGCCTGATGTGCTCCGCCCAGAGCCCTGTACCAGGCCGACTGCAGCTGTGAGCGACCCATACCTGACTCTTCTACAGAGAGCTGACCCCTCACCATTATTACCTTAGTCCGTGCAGGTTGCTATAACAAGAATGCCATGGGCTGGGTGACTTATAATCACCAGAAATTTATTTCTCACAGTTCTGGAGGCTGGATGTCCAAGCTCAGGATGCCAGCATGGTCGGGTAAGAGCCTTCTTCCTGGGTCATAGGTGGCACCTTCCTGCTGTGTCCTCACATGGTGGAAGGGGCGAGCGAGCTCAGTGGGGTCTCCATGATAAGGGCGCTAATCCCACTCATGGGTTCCACCCTCCTGATCTGATCACCTCCAAGGGCCTAGCCCCATCACTTCGGGGGTTAAGATTCAACACGTGAATTTTGTGGGGGACACAAACATTCAGACCTTATCAATTGTCTTACAAGTACAGTAGTCCTTCCTTATCCATGGTTTCGTTTTCTAAGCTTTCATTTACCCACAGTCAACCATGGTCCAAAAATATTAGATGGAAAATTCCAGAAATAAACAATTCATAAGCTTTAAATTGTGTGCTTTTTTGAGCAATGTAATGAAATCTTGTGTCTTCCTGCTTCATCCCACCTGGGACATGAACCATCCCTCCAGTGTCTCCATGCTGTAGACACTCCTCACCCATTAGTCACTTAGTAGCCGTCTCGGGTTAGCAGATCAACTGTGGTGGTATTACAGTGCTTGTGTTCAAGTCACCCTTATTTTACTTAATAATAGCCCCCAAAGTACAAGAGTAGTGATGCCGGCAATTCGGATATGCCAAAGAGAAGCCATAAAGTGCTTCTTTTATGTGAAAAGGTACGCATGTACACATGGGAAAAAATACAGCATGTATAGAGTTGGTACTATGCAGTTTCAGGCATCCATTCAGGGTCTTAGAATGTATCCCCTGTGGAGGCATGCGGGGGTGGTGGTTCTGTATTTCTACTGAGAGCACTCCTTCAGTAAATCACTGACGCAAGAATCTCCATCTCAGGAGACTGACCTAAGACATCCAGTGTGAGGGGTCTGTGGACCTGGGGGTATGTCTATGCTGGTCCCGGATGGCCCACACATAGGCTATGTCACCTATAGCCTCAGTGGGAGTCAGACCCGCAGGAACACCAGGGACCCTCCTCACTAGCAAGTGATGTGAGGGAAGAGTCAGCTGTTCACACACCTGGTGTCCGCTGAGTCTTGGAAATGGGTGACCACAAAAGCCCCCTCTCAATCTGCCCCCAACTTTCTCCATGGGTCCCGGAACACCAGTTCCTGCTCCCAGTTACCTGAGGAACCAAGGCCTGATGGTGAATGTCCCTGGCAGGTGAGTGAGCTGATTAAGTGTTCTCATCCTCCACTTTCCTCGGCTGGTCCTGCTCCTGCTGTCCCCACATTGTCTAATGAGGACCTGAAACGTACCCCTGCCCTGAAGCTTTCACCCCACTCTCTGCTACCACCCCAGGCCCTGAAAGGCGGATACCAGACTGGACATGACTCCGTCCCAGCCTTGACCTCAAGGTTCCCCTCCCACTGTGCTGCCTTCTTGTCTCCCAGCATTTGCTCTGACTTGGTCCTAGCTTGATCTCAAGGTGACCTATCTGTGCCTCAGTTTCCTTATCTATAAAACAGACATAACAATAGCACCTCCTTCCTAATGGTGTTGAAAGTGGCTGTGCTTCACCCCTAATAAGAATAACATTAATGTCAGCTTTCAACTTTAATTATTTCTTCCTCGTGCACGGCAGCATCCAACAGGGCCAAGGCTGAGCCATTTATACTGCATCTGACAGAACTCAGGGGGGAAATAAAAACAAGCTGTCGAGAGAGAACAAGGCAGCCCCTTTCCACCCTGCTACAGAGAGAAGTTTGTAGAAGAGAAATGGTTT